CAGTCCACTGCTGCTGCTGGCGGTGCAGGTACCCCGGCTCCTCCTCGAAGCGAGTCTCGTCCGAGCAGCTGTCGGCGCCGTCGGAGTTCTCTGAATCCGACGACACCAGATCAATCAGGTCCACGGCGGGTCGGCCGCCGTCGCTCGCGCACCGCGGCTCCGATGACACTTCCGCCAGGAACACCACGTCCGCGTCCTGCAACATGACGGATCGCGAGCGAGCGCGACAGTTTTGCATCAGAGGGGTGAGCCCGACTGTCATACCAGGCGCCAGCAGCCCACCAGGCCAGCGCTGTTTGTGTCAGGCCTGGACACGTACAAAGGACAGGAGCGCGAGCGCGCGCCAACACACACACGCCAAAAAGGAAAAAAAAAAACAGGCACAAAAAAAAATTGTTTAGAAAAATTGCTGGACATTTGAGCCGAGGCGGGTGTCGAGAGGGGCTAGCACCTGCTCCCCACAACACACTCACGCGCTATGCTATACCCCCCCCCCCCAGGCCGCTGCGGAAAACGGAATTGAAAATTATGGCGCGCAATTTAAATGCAATTTTAACGGCGGCGGCGGAGACTGATCGAGAGGCGGCGGCGGCGATGGAAGCGATGCCGCCCCTGCCGCCGCGCTGATGCAGGGCCACAAAGTTCGCGACCGACCACTCTGTTATGGCGCGGGCGGCAAGGGCGGGGCGGGAATTCCGATTCCCATCCAGTCCGGGCCCCTTGAAGGGGGTGAACCGCGGGGGGTAAAAAGGGAGGGGGAGGGGGTAAAGGAGGGGCAGAGGGGGGCTGCTCACTCAATAAGCGGGGAAAGGGGTAGGGGGAAGGAGGGAGGAGGGGGGCAGGGGGTAGTAGTGGGAATCCAAACCCTGCACTCCAATTAATCGCCAACAGGAAGCACTACAACTTGCCACGGCTCGGCGTTGTTGGCGAACCCCGCCGCCGATGTTTAGAGGGGGAAGAGAGAAGGGGGGGGGGGGTATTCAGACCATTCTATACATTGTGACGTGCGCACACACACTCACATACACTCGCGCGCCCCCCCCCCCCCCCCCCCCCCTCGCACACACACACACACACACACTCACCTACGCGCGCGCGCACACACACTGCATTTGTGCATATCGGCTGGTCCTGCTCGCCGCCCCGGGGCCGGAACAGAACAGAAACCATGAAAGCAGTTATTACTGCTACATCCAAGGCAAGCGGTATCAGCAAACGCAAAACTGCACCTCTCTCTCTTCCTCTCTGTCTCTCTCACTCTTCAGATATATATTCACCTCTTTCTTTCTCCCGACCCTTTACCCTCTGTGCCTCGCTCCACCATATCCTACTCGATCCATTCCCATATCGACATTGGGCGGAAGTTGATATAAACGTCGAACGCAGCGGAAAACTCGTTTCTGCTGCTCTCGGCAGGAAATAGAAATAAAAGAATGAGTCACAAAAACGCGCCGCCGAAAGAACTGTGTAAATTGGGGTGAAGCAGTTGTTATCCCCGGAAACTCGTCGACCAGCGGAGCTCGCACGCCTGCCGCTCCTGCTGCTGCTGCTGCTGCTTCACGGTTTGCCCTTCCAAAATACCTGCAGGTGATGGCATCTCGGCATCTCTGTGGCTTTTGCTGTTTGACGGAGAAACGCTCGAGTGAAAGATACCATCGAGCTGCTGGAGGGCAACCCCGTGGCAAGCTGCGGTGGGGGGTTCAGGGGGAGAAAGACAGTAAGAGAGGCGTTAAGGGGACAGAGGGAAAAGAGGAGGGATGGAGATGGAGGGGGGAGGGGTTGGGAGACTGGCTGACAGCATGCAAGGCCAAGGCTGCGGCGGGGCGGCGCGGCGCCCTTGCCGTGCTTCACTGCAGGCACACTTTAATTTACAAAGTTTTGCACCTCACTTCGTAAGTGGCGCCTCGCCTGTGCAGCCCAGCCCGCGGCCACCGCACCGCGTATCTCTCTCGCTCTCTCTCTCTCTCTCTCTCTCTCTCTCTCTATTGTGCTCTCGCTCTCTCCCATTCCCCCTCGCGTTTATTGGAACAACGACTGCTGGCGCGAGGTTGACTTTGGCAGTCCCAGGGCCTGCAGCAAAACCATTTGTCTCGGAAACATTCTTGGAGGCACCAATAAGACATTCTCTCGCGCCCTCTCGTCGCGCTTTGTTGTTTATTATTATATCCCAAATAACACAATGTTTTTCACTGAATGAAATGCGCCGCCAATGTGCTGTTTGTTTGTTGTTATTGTTTTCACGATGAGTTGCCTAGCTATGCACGTAATCCGCTTGCTTGCTTTCCATGACCCGGGCCTTTCCCTCTGATACCCCCCCCCCCCCTCTCTCGCCCTCTTTATCTCTCTCTCCTTTACACTCTGCCATTCCCACTCCTCGCGCCCTGACAATTATTATAGTTGTCGAGTTGGCCACTTCAGAAGCACGCGAGAGGCTTGGCCCGGCTTGGCTTTCGGTCGTGCCCCCCCCCCTTATCCCTCCTCCTCAGGTGAAGCCCTTTTCCCCCCGCTTTTCTCGCCTTTAGCCCTCACCCAGTTTGGCCGCACCCCTTGCGCGTTAGCCCCGCCCCGCCGCGCCGCCTGTCGCGCTCAGCAGCCACAAAACTTTCTTTTCCTTCCGCGTCGAAAAGTAATTATGCAATTGTCTGGGCTGGGTGGGCGTGGGCCCTGGGATGCTGCTGTGCCGCTGTGAGTACGCCTCGCCGCAGTCGGGATGCAGTAATGCAGTTAGCGTGAGGAACGGGCGTCGCTGAATGCGGGGGGAATGGACCGTGATGCTGGGACGAGTCATCTCACTCCCTCTTTTAATTATTTTCATCATCCTCTCGTCTCTCTCTTTCTGCCGCACGCGAGCGCGCTCCAACTCCCTTCCCCTATCTTTTTCTATATATCCTCTTGCTTGCTTGCTGGTATTTTTTTCTCCCCACCCTGAGAGGTTGGTTTTCAACACCACAGAACCGTGATTTTTCCTCCACTCTCACCATTTTTCTCACCCTCATTGTAGCACCCCCCGAAACGCTCTCTCTCTCTCTCTCTCTCTCTCTCTCTCTCTCTCAATGAGCACCGTTATCATCGTTCAAAATAATTACCAAGACCCCTCTTGCTTATTTCGCGCAACGTTTTTGCGTCTCGCTCTTGGTTGCCGCCGCTGTCATCACCCCCGTCCCCCACCGGCACCGGCGCGCGCTTTTCAAACAGCAATTTGCGGATAAAATTAGCAGGAGGCAGTGGCTCCAGGCCCACCCTCGTTCCCCACCCGCCCCATAGAACCTACTCCCCCACCCCCTCCCTTCCCCCGCGCAGCCGAGCGGGCGGTGCTCTGCTCACCTGGGACTCGTTGGTTGGGTCAGGCCTGCTGCCCGCACTGTTGGCGCTCGCCCTGGTGCTTGTACCGGGGCTGGTGGCCGTGGCGGTGGCCGACGTTCGTCGAGGGCGGGTTAAGCTGCTGCCACTACTGGTGGCCAAGGTGAAGCGAGGCCCGGGCCGAGATCGCGCTGCACTGTCCCTGAGGCGGGCACTCCTCCTGGGCTGCTGCCGCTGCTGCCTGAGCTGCTCCGACGACAACCACATTATTCCACACTTATCCAAATTTGCTGCTGTTGTCTTCTTCTTACTGCGTTTTTCACACTCGATAAAGACGGTTTAACGTTTTACGTTGAACAAACACGTCGCACGGCTTTGCACACGCGCAACGGCGGGTTTTTAAAACACAGATCGACATTTGAAGCGATTCATTTAGCGGACGGCAAGAGTGTGCCGCGTGGTTCGGCTGACGGACTGCAACTGGCTGGTCAGCTGGTCGGCGGCCGGGCGGTGACGGTATGGACTCTGCCCCTTCGCCCCGCGCCGCCGCCGACGGGCATACCGTGGCCGGGAACCCCGGGCCGAGTCAGGCCGGGCCGGGCGGCGTGTGGAGGTGTCACCTCTCTCCAATGGGCGCGAGCGAGTGGCGTCTGTCTCTGTCGCTCTCATTGGCGCGCAGGGCTCGCCGCGGCGCGCGACTCGCGGCGGCCGGGCCCGGCCTCCACCTCGCCCCACCGCACCCCATCCCGCCCCACCACTACGAGGCAATTACGTGGTGCTGCGCCCTTGATGACGCTGCAACGGGCGAACGCGGGGCCTCCACCGGCCTCCTTCCGCCAGCCGCCAGTTGCGTCCACCAGCCTCCTTCTACCCACATCCACCGGCCTTTACCCGCCTCCAGTTGCGTCCACCATAGCCTCCTTCTACCCACCTCCACCGGCCTCACCCGCCTCCAGTTCTGTCCACCAGCCTCCTTCTACCCGCCTCCACCAGCCTCCTTCCACCCACGATCTCGGCCTCCAGTTTCTTCCTCTGACCTCTACTAGCCTCCCTCCACCATAGTTCTTTGCGAATGTTCGAAATCGAATCGAATCTGGCCCGATTCAAGGGGGGGGGGGCATAATTTGATTCGATTCGTTTGCGAATTTAGAAAGATTCGATTCGATTATTTTTTTTGGTCCGATTCGATTAGATTCGAAAATTTTTTAAAGAGATTCGATTCGAACCAAAAAACTCGACTCGCACAAACACTACTCCACCACCGGCCTCCTTCCACCCGCCTCCACCAGCCTCCGATTGCCTCTACCAGCCTCCTTCCACCTGCCTCCACCGGCCTCCTTTTGCGTCCACCCAGCCCCAGCCCCACCCGTCTCCACTGGCCTATGCATCCCTCTCTATCCACCTCCCCCATGCATCCGCCCCACCCCGCTCCGCTCCGCCACGCCCCGCCCCCGCGTGGCGCTCCTATTGATATTGTGGACCTTCAATTAGCCGTGGGCCCCCGTCCAATTACAAAGAACAATACTGTCGCCGTATCAGGTTGTCCCCTCGCGCTCAGAGCAAACTTGTGCAAATTTATTTCTTTCCGCGAAATTAGAAAAGGCGCTCGCTCTACTTCCACTAAGTACATGGGCCCTGCGACATTCAAATTGCTCATCAGGTATTTATAACCTTTTTTTTCTCTCTTTGTTTTTCTGCAGTTCTCTCCGAGCGTTGGGCGCCCGGTCGGTGCGTGAGGCTGCATGTGCTCATGAAGTCCGACAACTGCGGCGAGAACCAGGACTGCTCAGGCAAGGGCGTCTGCTACTCCAAGGACAGCATGGTGAGTGCAACGCCCTTTGGGGTTTTAACTGCAGAAACGATAGAAATCTGTCGGGGTTCCTTGTTTGTTTGTTTCTGTGATTTTTTGCATGCCATGCGCCATGCATGCCATGCGTTCAGGCCGGTTCGGGCAGACGTAGGAGGGCGATATACGCCTGAGTCATGACACCTGACACCTCACATTTCCCTGCTGCGACCGAGTTTACTGCTGGGTGCCTCACTCAGCAGCGAAATGTAAAACCTGCGTTGGGCACTCAGCAAGACCAAACGACACAACACGGCGTTGGCACAAAATATGCCATTCAAACCCCCTGCTGCCTATACTATTTGTTTTTAAAATTTTTAATCTTTTTTTGTCGTACACGAATAGCTCTGTTGTTGTTGGGTGTAGTGCATCCGCCAGGGCCTTGCTCCTCAATTTGGCGGCAAGATGGCGCAGCTGTTGCTGGTGGGGTTCTTTATTAGTGATGGTGAAGAAGGGGGGCCGGGGGTGCGAAATGTATTGGGCCAACCTGGCGGGGAGAGAGAGAGAGAGAGAAAGAGAGAGAGAGAGGCTGTTGCGGTGGCGCAGTAGAGGGGTGTAGGCGTCCACCCGGAAACCACTATGGCGGCGCATTGGCCGTTACCCGCCGCCTTGCCCGGGTGCACGCCCGTTATTGCTGCTCTGCGCGACTTTCTCAAGTAAACTCTTTCTCTCTCCCTCGCTCTCTTCACCCTCCTCTCATTCTTTCGCTTTCCTCACTTTCCATCTCTTTTCCCCCTTCTTCTGTCCCATTGCCTTTTCCTCGCGAGAGACTTTTCCGGACTTTTCTCTGTATGTGTGTGTGTTGAGCTTTTTAGCCGTATGATAAAAGTAGCTCAAATTGCAAATCAACGCAATTAATTTTTGTGCTCGCTTATTCGGCCGATTTTGAATTGATTTCTTTTCTTCCCGCTAAATGCGTGTCGCAGTCGGTATACACTGTAAACCCAAAAGTGTGTACATAGGCACATAAAGAACACACAAGGAAGGGTGTACTGTCATGGCACACGCTAGGAAGTGTGTACATACGTGGCACACAGTACGTACGCGCCGCATAGCGTAGCGCTATGGCAGGGGCAGGTACACACTGAGTGGATTTATTTAAGAAAGACAGCTCGTGCCTACGACCTCGTCCGATTTGGCTGATATTTGGTGGACATGTTCCTCAATTGAATTGAAAAAAAGGCCAGGAAGCGTTTGGCCGAGAAAAATTTACTTCCGGAACTGTGGGCAAATTAGTGGTTTTGCAGGCATTTTGGGTATTTTGCACTATGACTAGAGTTTTGGTCCTAGATTGTCATCTCAGGTGTCTCCGGATGCAGAATGGACCAAGGAACAAGAATATGCCATCGGAATGTCTCTACTACCCATACTTTTTGAAATATTGTCAAAAATTTCTTGGGGAAAATGGGTCAGAAACTTTTTTGGGGTGATCGGGGTAAATGAAATTTCGCTATTTTTGACAATATCTCAAAAACTATGGGTCGTAGAGACATTCCGGTGGCATATTCTTGTTCCTTGGTCCATTCTGCATCCGGAGACACCTGAGATGACAATCTAGGACCAAAACTCTAGTCATAGTGCAAAATACCCAAAATGCCTGCATAACCACTAATTTGCCCACAGTTCCGGAAGTAAATTTTTCTCGGCCAAACGCTCCTTGGCCTTTTTTTCAATTCAATTGAGGAACATGTCCACCAAATATCAGCCAAATCGGACGAGGTCGTAGGCACGAGCTGTCTTTCTTAAATAAATCCACTCACTTCCTAGCGTGTGCCATGCCAGGCTCATAAAGTACATGTACAAGGAAGAGTGTACTATGTACACACTTGGGTTTACAGTGTAGGAATACGCCAGCCCAGTAGCGTTATGGAGCACCCGGTGCCCTTGTCTCCTCCCTATACAGGCGCTAGGGAAGGTCCACCCCGGGCCGGGTCTCCTCCTGGACGCGACGCGGGGAGGGGGAGGGGAAGGCGACGTGGGCTGGGGGCGCACCGGGCGGGGAGGAAGGGAGGAGGAAGGCGGCGCGCGAGCGGAATTCGTGATTCGCTGTTTTGCATTTTGAAAGAGTTGGGGACAGGCAGGCGGGGCCGGGCCGGGCAGAGGAGCCACCACCGGGGCTGGGGACGCTACGGGAATAGGCCGCAGAGGTACCACCAACGCTACCGGGCAGAGGTGAGCTCCGAGAGGCAAAAGGCCAGGTCGGAGTGCCGCCGCCGCTGCGCTGCTGTGCGGGATACCGTGACGGGTTGGGCTCGGGAGAGGGGCTGCCGCGTAGAATTGAATTCATACTGAATCGATTTGGCTAGCGAGGGGAAGTTTTGGGAGATTCCGCGCACTTGTCTCTTCTTTTATTTTTATCCTGCTGTCGCTGTCACCTCGCCGGTGTTGTTGTTTTTCTACTTCTGGACCTGGCAGTTTTACCATATTACCCTCGCTGTCCATCTGCGGCATTCATTCATTCATTTATTGCAATGTTCGGTTTTGGTTCGGTCATGCTGCCCGCTTGTGCTGTTTGCCCCCCCCCCCCCCCCGGGGATAGGTCTTCAGAGTACATAAGTCGCGGGACTTGACTTTCAACCCTGTCGCCACCCTTTCAGGAGCGTCAAGTAGAGGTTTCTTGAGAGAGAGTGAGAGAGAGAGAGAGAGAGACCTCAAAGAAACGGTGAGCGTTGCTCCTTACCCCTTCCCTTCCTCCTCGGGTGGCTGCCGGGGTCGGGTATCAGCTGATGGCTCCCTTCTTGCGCGCCGGTGCCGTTGAGCCTTGTGTATCGTCTCACTCCCTCCTTTGTGGACGGACGCCGCGCGCGTGCTTGCTGCCCAGGGTTCAAAATTTTGAAAAAAAAAATCGAAAAAATTCCAAATAATTTCGAAAAATTTCCGAATAATTTCGGAAAATTTCCAAATAATTTCGGAAAATTAAAAAAATTTACGAGGTTTGGGAAACTCTTACGGAAAATTTCTGTTAACTTTCCAGCCCTAGTGCGTCCCCAGCACTAGACGTCCTTCACGCTCACAAAAAGCGCGACCCGGAAGTGCACGTCGTTCCTGGTCGTACACGGCCATTGCTGTCGTGCTGCTGGCTGCCTGCTGGGCTAGGCGCCGCACCAAACCGCAGCAGGTGTGTGCCGCCGGGGTGGCTGCTCTGGCAGGCGGGTGCCGCGCCGCACCGGCTGGTGCCGTGGCCATTGTCAACTGCAACCCTTCCGACAGAATATCACCACGACTCCCCCCCACCCCCCCACCGAAAAAAGGACATGCCGCTCGGACAACTTTTATTTGTTTGTGTTTTTTTCTTTCCTCCCTGTCGCTTCTGTCTGTCTTCTCTCTTCCTCTCTCCCCTCTCCCGCACACACCTACACACGCGCGGACGCGCGCGCACACACACACTTTCTCCCTCTCCGGTTGCTGTGCGTCGTCCCCCGCTATACCTGCCGCGCGTATCTTTGCCGCCGGAGTTTGTCGTCGTGATGCTGGAACTTGATCTCTCGGAGCCCGGGGAGGAGCCCGAGAGACGGGGGGTCGCTAGTGTGGCACCCTTCGCACCAGGCGGCAAGGCCAAAACTCGCAGGCAAACATCAAGTCGCGCAACCGTCTCCTGGTGCGCTCTCTCTCTCTCTCTCTCTCTCTCTCTCTCTCTCTCTCTCTGCTGTAGCCTGCGCCAGCCACTATCCGCGTTTCAGTTTCAGACCGCCCCCAAACCCTCCCTCTATCCCTGCTGAGCCACTGCTATCTCGACCATGAGGACGACCCCTGGCCCCACCGTGCCCCTCCTCCTCCCCCGCACACGTGCGCGTATAAGAAAACGCACTCCCGCGGGAGGGGCGGGGGGTCCGCTCGGGGAAGGAGGAGAGGGGGGGGGGGGGGCAACGACCGCGATGAATAAGTCTTTTCACGCGCGATATCAACCCCCCGCCAGGCAAGCGGCTCTCGCGGCCCCCGCGGCCCCCGCAGCCCCGGCCAGCAGCAGAAGGGAGCCCCGCCGGGAAAGGGCCAGAGCTGTTTGCTCGTTCCCTTAAACTGACCTTTTCTGTGTTGGTCCACCCTTTCCTGGAGAGCTCCGGCGCCTCACGAGGCAAGGCTTGGTCTGCTGGCTGTGTGGTGCCCCCCATCCACCTACCCTCTGGTGGCGTCCACCGCTTGCTGTGTGTGTGTGTGTGTGTTGTGTCTCTTGTCGTCTGGAAGCGGTCAAATTGCGGTCTCGAATACCCACGTCGACCCCCAGTGCCCAGTGTATACATGTGTGTGTATACGTACGTGTGTGTGCGTAATTTCGCTGTGAGCGCCCACCCAGTACGACCTGTGTGTGTGTGTTTGCCTGTGTATGTGTGTTATAGTCCCATAGCCGGCCGGCAGCATGGGGGTATACGCTATGGTTACAGCAGTGGTACTATTTCCGTCTCTCTCTCACTCTCCTGCTCTCTCCCTCTCTCCCTCTCCTGCTCTCTCTCACGCTCTCCCGGCCGACAGCAGGTGCACGCGGGGCGCGCGGGCTGGGCTGCCTGGGGTGGTTAGTTGTCCCCCTGCAGCGAGCATGCACTGCCCCCGTCCTGTATAGCACACCATACGCCGACCGCCCGGGGCGGTCCGAGCAAGGCGACCATAGCGGCAGCAGGCGGAGCAGCCAACGTTGCCTTCGTGTTTCTCCTGCTCCCCTCTCTTTTCCCCCCTTTTCCCTTTTCCATGTGGGAGGCCTCCGTGTGTACTGTTTTTGGATTCTGTAACCCGAGCGTCCCCCCCGTGTGCTTCCCCGGGGCTGCGCGACCTGGAGCATGGCGCTGGACGGGGATATGTTTACCTATGGAGAACAGTGCACGGCTGGGCGACCCTCTGTCCCTCCAGCCCCACCCCGAACCGACCCGCCAGCCCCACAAGTAACGGACCAGAGATAGTTTAAAACAGAGTGTAGGAGGTACTGCTCCTGCTGCTTCGGCGTACTGATGCTTCGGGTCAGGAAGCAGGGGTGCATGACCCCGTGGGAAAGGCGCGTCGGCGGGAGCGAGGGTGGAGGGCGCGGGGTCCCTTTGGAACGCCTTGGTTTTGCATTCGTGATTGTGACGAAGTAGAGCGTAGCAGGACGACGCTGGTGGTGGCGAGGCCCACACCACGATCCGCCCCGGCCCGCCCACCCCGCGCCACACCACGAGCCGCCCTCGCCCCGCCTCTCCAGAGGCACCAGAAACAGGGCCTCGCTACTGCGTCGGCCTTCCACAAAGCAGCAACAGCCAGCGCCAGGCCCCACACCACAAACGAATATGAATGCGCCGGTTAACACGCATTCCGAATGTGAATGTGTGCAATGTGGTCGACATCATGGATACGGCATTGCCGCGGCAGAGGGCCGGCCGTGTGGTGAGGGGGGGGGGGGGGGAACCTCCCTCCCTCGCACTTGCAGTGACCTCCACAGCCCCTGCTTATTTATGGTGTACTTCCACCGAACCTTATACTCGCGGTTGTGTGTGTTTCCCGACCTCCCACCAGTACTCCCGTGTTAAACGTAATTTATGAGAAAGATGGTAGTGTAAGTTTGAAACGCTCCAATTTATTTAACTTTTTTATTGTCGTGGCCAGTATTGTTACTCAAAATTTATACCAGCGTCAGTTCAGTCGTCATTATGGGACGACCTGGGGATCATACCCGGTTTTCCAGGGGGGTATAACCCGGCCGCCCTGGCTGCTTTGGCGGGGTCCTTGATGAGGCATCAGGCAGCAGCACAGCAAAATCCCTCCCCAACCCGTTCCGCCCGCCTCCACGGCCTCTTTGATGAAAGGAAACAGCGCGTGCCCTCGCTGCGTGTGCCCGGCTGTATGAGGGAGAGAGAGAGAGAGGAACGGACGGACGGACGGTCGGGGAGAGATCGCGGGCCGGAGTGATACAAGCGGTGGCATGTCGAGCTACTGTGTGTGTGTGTGCGTGTGCGTGTGCGAGGGCAAGGGAGCGCCGGGGAGGGACCCCACCGATGCGGTAAACGAGACGGAAAACAATATGATCCGGCAGCGGGACATATTTTGGCGGGGACCCTCTTTACCTTTCCTTAAACTCTCCCCTCTAAGTCCCCTCTCTCTCTCTCTCCGTCGCCTCCTCTCTCCCCCTCCCTCACTCTCCCCGCGTAGTATGGGGAGGAAGTGCGCCATCGAGTGCTATTAACCGTGCGACGACGTATTTCCTCTCTGCGCTCTCCCCGGATAGCGCTCTCTTTTGTCGCAGGGCGCGACAGAAAGCTGGTGGGAGACAGGAGAGGGGAGGAGACGAGAGAGAGAGAGAGAGAGAGAGAGATGGAAGAGGGTGAGGCACGCGACGACAGGCCCCCGTAACTGCTTCGCTGGCTTTTCTATTCAACCATCCCTTACCCTCTCACTGCGTCTCTCTATCTCTCTCTTACACCAAACCCTCCCCATCTCCTACCCCCGGCCCCCCCAACTCTCGCCTCGTCCAGCGCCATCGGCAGGATCGGACCCGGGGCGTCAGGTGGATCTGGCAGGTTGGCCGAAACAGTAGAGGAACGCTCAGGAAGGGGGAAGCGGGTGAGAAAGAGAGAGGGAGGGAGAGAGAAGACGTGAAGGTGTGGGACGAGAAAGAGAAGAGGGTGGCGGCGGTGAAAGGGGGGGGGACTCCTTTTGGCAGAGTCCTTCGTGCACCTCGTCGTGCGCCGGCCGAGCGGAGAGGCGTTGGAGAGGCTCTCGAGGACGTGCCGCGCCTTGCGCCCCCCCCCCTCTCTCTCTCTCCCCTCATCGAGGGCTCTGCTGGTGTGGTGGAGCCCCTGCAGGACGAGGATAGCCCGGCCCGCCTCGCCGGCCCGTCGCGCGGGTCTGCCTACCGAGCCCGGCGTTAAAGAGGTGCGCTGCTGCCGAACCCAAAGTCTCCCTTTCAATCGATCTCAAAGACTTCTAAATGAGCCCCCAATATTTGCAATCTTCGCGCCTCTTTCTCTGCCTTTCACCCCCTGGCCGCCGCGCCCCCGATTTCCCCCCTCCCCCCTGCTCCGTTCGAGAGTTTTGGCGCCGGGGGATGCCGTTCTGATTAATACCATCTGCGAGTATAATGAGGCTTGCTTAGCCCCCCCATCTGAGCAGCGCTTTGCCCGCCGCCGCCGCCGAGCGCCGGCTGAGCGCGGCTGATAGTTGTTGTACAGCCTGTCGGTCTGCCGGGGAGGGGGAGGGGGACGGGGAGGGGTTTGCATAGGAATGTTGTCGGTAAGTTGGCGGGAGCGGGCGCGCCTGGCCTGGCCCGGATCGAGGCCCCGGCCGCCTGCCACACTGTGCAGGGAGGGCTCTCGTCGGAACCAGAGCGATGATCTGCATGAAGGCGGGCCAGCGCGGGCGACGACGAGCGGCCAGGCCAGGCCTGCTCTGTGCTGTCTGATGTACAACCACGTTTCGCAGCGAGCGAGGGGGAAACGGTCGGGATGTGCGCGAGGATGTGCCGTCGGTCGGACCCGTTTCCCTTCAGAGTGGCGTTGAGAGAGAGAGAGAGAGAGAGAGAGAGAGAGAGAGAGAGAGAGAGAGAGAGAGAAATTCTGCCTGCTCTCAATACTCGCTCCCCCTTCCTCCCATTCTCATGCTCTCGCCATTTCCTTCCTCCTCTTCCGTTGTTGAGTATTTCTCTCTCTCGCTTGCTCGCCCTCCACCGCGCGCATCCCTGTCCCCTCCTCCCCCCTCCGCCATATTGCCCCTCCTCTACTTCCGGTTCTGATTTCTGCCGGGAACATCAGTGGCAGCTGCGCGCGGCTTCAGGGCGGTGGTGGTCCCCGCTCTGCTCCCTATCTCCACCGGCCGGGGGATTCTCATGGCAGAGCGGTGGGGCCGCCGGGGAATCAGAAAGGGCGGAGGGGTGGGGGGGGTCTGAAATCGTACTGCCAGGGGGAAGTGTCGACCGCATTCCCTCCAATAATTCATCAACCTGAAACGGTGGTGGTGTTGCAGTGGCGGTCGCAGCGGG